ATAAAAATTTCATTATTAATTAATTGGAAATTACTATCCATTAATTATTACTAACAATATTAATTAATTAATTAATTAACATTAGATTCTAGTAGCAATGGTAAAAGAAAGAATTGATGAACTAATTTAACTTTCACTATAAATTTATTATTATCTTTTTATTTATCTTTTTATTTTATCCTTATTTTATTTCTCAAAGTTAAATCATAACAATGTTTTGAAATAATAAACTTTTTACAGTTTTTTGATTCTTGTTAAATGGTTGATATTGTGAGGTATCATCTTGGTTAATTAACAATTATGGCCTAACTTTTGGGCTACTCTTATCAGTTAATTGCAAATAATTCGGTGCTTGTCAATTAATTAGTTTATAACTTTACTTTGGTTCCTTCTTTCTTGCACCTAGACGAATCTGCGAGCACATTTAATGGGTACTAGATAACCGTAAATAAATAAATATGCCCATTTACAAGGCTCAAGGGCTTCCATAAAGTTCCTTTTATTCACTTGTGATTGATTTATTTCAGTCGTTTACATTTATTGGCCGATGGCAAACTCGCTTTGGTTTACTTGCAAACAACTTAAGCAGCTTGTTGACAGCCTTACATTTACGGCTACAATAATACTACCAGTATTTCTTATTAACCTTTGGACGATACTTCATTAACACCCACTAGTTAACCAATGTCAGCCCTAACGTTGCTTGCTTGCCCATTAAAGCAAATAAATGTGGCCTTTTACTAAAGCTCCGCAATTGTTGGTTTCCAAATAAATGTATGCAATCATAGTAGTACAATTGCGATTTTCCTTAGTATTCTTAGTATTAGTATTACTTTTGTCTGCCATATACATATGATCGACTATGTTTGTAAAATCATATTAATATTAATATTAATATGATGTAGGGACACTTCATCGAGGCATCCCTGCAAGCAACATAGTAAAATTAAAAGGATAAATAATTAAACCGTTAATCATTAAAAGGGATTACTATTACAAAACGGTTCTGCCTCCTCAACTATGAAATAATTCGCAATAAAGTAAAATGTATTTATTTTACTTTACATGACCATTATATATATTTCTTTAACTTCCAAGTGTTTAAATACTTTTTGGAGTATTTACAAATAATGTGGATTTTTGGCCAATAAAATAAATATGCTAATTAATTATAAATTATGACTAATTATACTAATGTTAAATGCCAAGGATGCATCATTGATTATGCCCTTGTGCTATATTACGATTTACTATCTCATATGATGACGCTCCCAAAATAAAGTTCTTCAACAGTCATTTCAGTGATTTCCAGTCATTGTTGCCAATCTGTATGTGATCAAATACGCATGTATAATGATTTTGGGAAAGGGTGAATCTCGTTGCCGAGTATTACACTAATTTACTCAAAGTGTGCTTTTACAAGATTTAAATAAATCTATTTTCTCGACAATTCATTCATGTCCATCCATTATCTTTAAGAATCAACCAATAACTTTTATTTAACTTTTTTATAGTTTCAACTATATTAAAGCTATTTATTTATTTTTATTATTGTTCCAGAATTAGAATTCATTTGCCAAAATACTTTTTGTTTTATTTATTTGGAGGATTTCTTAAATTTTTTGAGTGACGACGACCTTTGCAAAACATGTTACACTTATGTTTTTGATATGGATATTTTCAAACCTTGTATATTATCTCATTATTGTATATTCATTATATTACATGTAAACTCGATAAGTCGGGTGCAGCAATCAATTGTTTAAAGAAAGTACCTGATAATATAAATGACCGACTATCAAGTTTGCGTGTGTAATACAAATAAATAAATAATTAAATACATTTCATATATATTTTTTTTATTTATTTATTTATTTATTTCGTATAATGTCGTAATAAGTTAATATTTAACTTTATTTAGTGGAATTCGTGACATCGCATTCAAGGCTATAATCGCATTTAAAAGACTATTTCGGAATTAAATTGCTCAATCACAATTACACGAAAAGTTATTAGACTGCCAAATAGCAATTAAAATACAATATCATAACGAAAGAGCAGAATAATAATCAGAATGCTAAATCGTAACGAAAGTGCTACTAATTAATATAAAAAGCTTGAATTCGATGTATTTGTAAAATATTAATAAAGATCTTGCTTCATTAAAATTTTTTTTAATGAAAAGATAAAGTTTATCCAATCATTTTCCACATAGAAACTTACAAATTTGGAACTGTAGTGACTGTGGTATATAGCAAGTAATAACACGTATTAGTATGTATGCATGTACCAAATTTTTGTAGTACAAAAAATTTATGTTACGACGAAAATTGGCCTCATATAAATTAAAAATAAATAGGCCGAAAAAACATGCATTTAAAATAATCAATTAAAATTTTTTTTTTTACAACTTCTAACTTTCTTTATTTCTTTTTTTTTAAAAAAAATTTTTATTATTAATAATAATAATAATAATTATTATAATAATCAAACTCTCTTTTCCAAAATTTACCAAAAAAAACTCATTGATTGAGTCTCATTCAAAAAATAACTTTATTTTTTTCTTTTGACCAAAGAAAGAAATAAAATAAAATATCAAATATGCCATTTGATAAAGAAGCCGAAAATGGAATTAAAACAGGTCATCAAAAACGATTATCAAGTTCTTCAGATTTACAACAACCACAAAAACGTCGAATATATGTCAACATACCATTACCAACGGAAGAACTTGATCAATATGGTGAACCTAAAACATCTTTTGTAGGAAACAAAATACGTACCTCAAAATATACCCTTTTAACCTTTATACCGAAAAATATATTTGAACAATTTCGTAGAGTAGCAAACATGTATTTCCTTTTTATATTCATTTTACAACTTTTCCCGCTTATCGGCAATGGTAGTTCTCCTATTATCTTTGCCGCTCCACTACTCTCTATCATAACTATGACTGCAATTAAAGATGCTATTGAAGATTGGAAACGTCACACCCAAGATAACACACTTAACAAATCAAAAACAATTAGATTATCCAATCGTAATGTTAATATACCTACAGGTGATGGTAAACGGTTTAAATTTTTACGTGGTATATTAAATGGCTTTTTTGGTTCACAGAAAAATAACAATCAGATAGGCCAAGAAAGTAACAATGATAAGAATAAAAGTTACTCAAAGCAAATGGAAGAAGTTCCTTTGCCTACTATGCGACCATCTCAAAGTGCAAAATGGATAGATAGTCGTTGGCAAGATGTTAGAGTTGGCGATATTATACAATTGAGAAATAATGACCCTGTTCCTGCTGATATAATAATTTTATCTACGAGTGAACCTGATGGTCTTTGTTACGTAGAAACAAAAAATCTTGATGGTGAAACAAATCTTAAAATTCGTCATTGCAACAATGCCACGTCATCTTTAATGACGGAGAGTGATTATGAACAAGCTTTTTTTTATGTCGATTCGGAACCAGCACATGCAAATTTATATTCATATAATGGCGCTCTACATTGGGTTGGAACTAATAGAGATGGTGCGGACCATTCCAACGAAAAAATTGAACCAATATCTATCAATGATATTCTATTGAGAGGATGTATTCTACGTAATACTGAATGGGTCATAGGATTAGTAGTATTTACTGGCACTGACACTAAAATCATGTTGAATTCTGGTGATACACCAAGTAAAAGGAGTCGTATAGAAATAGAAACAAATTTTCATGTATGTTTTTTTTTAAATGATAGTTTGTAGAAAAATCAAGGAGCATTGGGGATATCAGGAAAATCAAAAATTTATTTAATTTTTTTTTATTTTTTTAGGTTACTATGAATTTTGTTATACTGTTCTTACTTTGTTTGGGTTCTGGTGTAGCTCAAACAGTTTATTATATTCAACCTCGAAGCTCTGCAGACGTTTTTGGTTACGAAGGAGACATTGGTGGTGGTGCATTATTTAGTGGTTTTTTAATATTTTGGTATGAAAAAAATTAATAACTAAATAATGTTGATCAAGAAGAATTATACTTAATTTTGATTAATTTAATCATTAATTTTTTAGGACAAGTATGGTTTTATTTCAAAATATTGTACCAATTTCATTATATATTACAATTGAAATAGTTAAAACTATACAGGTAAATTTATTATAAAATTAAAATTATTTATGATTTGTTCATTTATTCATTTGCATATTGTTTATTCCATATGTTTTTTTTATTTGAAAGGCATATTTTATTCATTCAGATGTTGAAATGTATTATGAAAAACTTGATTATCCATGTGTTCCAAAAACATGGAATATTTCTGATGATCTAGGTCAAATTGAATACATTTTTTCTGATAAAACTGGTACTTTGACGCAAAATGTTATGGAATTTCGTAAATGTACAATCAATGGCATCGCATATGGTTTAGGTGAAACAGATGCTATGCGTGGTGCAAAATTACAAGAACGACTTGATAATGGCGAAGAAATAAAAGGTGATGGTAACGTTGATGATGATGTTGATTTGGAAGCAGAGAAAAGATTAATGCTAGAAGAAATGTCAAATTTATTTGAAAATAAATACATCTCTCGAAATCTTACATTTGTTGATTCAAAATTATATAAAGATTTAAAAGTTATGGATCAACAATCAAAAGCTATCCAAGATTTCTTTTCTGCATTAGCGTTGTGTCATACTGTACTAATTGAACATCCTAATGAAAATGACCTTTATGAAATCGATTATAAAGCTCAATCACCAGATGAGGCTGCCTTGGTTGGTTGTGCAAGAGATGTTGGATTTGCGTTTCTTGAACGGTGTCAGGATACTTTAATAATTGAAGTAATGGGTCAACGTAAAGAGTTTACATTGTTAAATGTCTTGGAATTTAATAGTACTAGAAAAAGAATGTCAGTTGTTCTACGTTCGCCTGAAGGAGGAATAGTTTTGTTGTGTAAGGGCGCTGATAGTGTAATATATGAACGTTTAGAAAAAGGATCTCAATTAGAACTAAGAGAAGAAACTTTGGAAGATCTTGAACTTTTTGCTAAAGAAGGTATTTATTTATATATGTATTTATATATTTTATATATATGTGTACTTATATTTTTAAATATTAATCATACTTGATTTTTTTAAATAACAAAAAAAAAAATCAAAGGACTTAGAACACTTTGTATAGCGTATCGTACTATACCAGAAGAAGAGTATAATGTGTGGTCAGCAAAATATGCAGAAGCAGCATCCAGTATTAATAATAGAGAAGAAAAGATAGAAGAGGCATGTGAGATGATTGAGCATTCATTGATATTGATGGGAGGAACTGCAATAGAAGATCGACTTCAGGAAGGTGTTCCAGAAACTATAGCCACATTGGCACAAGCTGGTATTAAATTATGGGTATTGACAGGTGATAAAGTGGAGACAGCTATCAATATTGGCTTTTCATGTAATCTGTTACAAAATGATATGCTTTTAATTGTCATAAATGCATCAGATAAACAAAGTGCTCTTACCCAGATAAATGAAGCAATCAAAAAATTTTTTGAAAATCAGAGTGAAAAGAAAAATAAGCATGCACTGATTATAGATGGCGAAACACTCAAGTATGGGTTAGACGATAGTGTAAAACCATACTTGTTAGACCTTGGTAAAAGATGTGAGAGTGTTCTTTGTTGTCGTGTAAGTCCATTGCAAAAAGCACAAGTAGTTTCTATGGTGAAAGAAGGATTAAATGTGATGACATTGTCAATTGGAGATGGAGCTAACGATGTAAGTATGATACAAGAAGCAAATGTCGGAATTGGTATTGCTGGTGAGGAGGGGCGGCAAGCAGCAATGTCAGCAGATTTTGCATTTGCACAATTTAGGTATTTGGAAAAACTTTTACTTGTTCATGGACGTTGGTCATATATCAGAATAGCAGAAATGATTTCATGTTTTTTTTACAAGAATATTGTATGGACAATTGCAATGTTTTGGTACCAAACACAGGCTGGGTTTTCTGCAGAATATCTTTATGATTATTCATATATCCTGCTTTACAATCTTGTTTTTACAGCAATTCCTGTAATGTATTTGGGTGCATTTGATCAAGATGTAGATTCTAAAACTTCTTTTAAATATCCACAACTTTATAAAAGAGGCATTTTACAACAAGATTTTACAAAATCAAAGTTTTGGTTATACGTAACGGATGCAATCTATCAATCACTTATTTGTTTTTTTGTTCCATATGGACTACTTCAATTTGGACAATCTCATAGCACTGGATTGACAAATAACAGCTTAAAAGATTTGGGAACTGTAGTGGCAGGAGCAGTGGTGGTAACGACTAATTTATATGTTGGGCTTAACATTTTGAATTGGTCATGGATGGGATTTTTTGTCATTGGTTGTAGTATTATATCATTTTATTTATGGGTAGAACTTTACGCCATAGTGTATTCAATAGGATTCTTTAGAGTGGATGTGATATTATTTTCTGATATAGATTTTTGGTTGACGATTACTTTTGTTGCTATGATTAGTATTATGCCGAGATATATTGTTAAGTATCTTCATAAGTCGTATTGGCCAACTGATACAGATATTGTTCGTGAACAAGTTTATCAAGAAAAGAAACTTAGAAAGGGAGGGAAACGAACGGTTGTTGAGGAAGAAGAGGATAGATCTCCAATTAATGTAGGTTATACGACTAATGATACACATGAAAATGCATTCAGTGGAAATTCAACGATGAAGAACATAACATCTGAGCCAACATCAATAACAACAGCAGCAATAAATGAAGATATAAAATCATCATCAATATTACCAAATATCAAACCAAGGAATCATAGACCGACAGCATCTATGAGATCAATTGAACAACTTATACATATGGATTCTGGTAAAAGGCAATCGTTTACAGGATTTGCATTCTCAGTTGAGGAGAGTGGGTTTGAGAATTTCAGAAAATCAGTTTATAAACCTATACAAAATATTAACAATAAATTATATAGATCTAAAACCATAACTAACACTAATCCTTCAATAAAAGAAAATAAATCAAAGTCATCATCAAAGAATTTATTATATCCTACACAATTACCATTAAATCGTAGTAAATCTTTGCCTAGTAGTTTATTTAGTAGATTGTCGTCATCTAGTAATATTAGTGGATCCCCTTCATCAATTAATTTAAGTTTTAATAATAATAATAATAATAATAATAATAGGTAGGGAAGTTGGGATTTCAGTAATTTCATTATAATATTAATAATATTTTATATTTAGATTGTAATTTTAGTTTTTTTAGATTATAATTTAGGTTTATATATACGCATTATTGTATAGTATTTTAGAAAACTTTTTTTTTGTCTTTAGACGATTATACTGACAATTTAATGACAATAATAATAATAATATTAATATTAATATTAATATTAAAACTAATGATCTATTAATAATTTTGTAAAATATAATATATAATTTTATTTATTTATTTATATAGTACTGTAATTTAGTTAAATAATTTGTGCAAAAAAAAAAAAAGATTTATTAAACGGCTTGAACTGGTATTAATGTTCCATTATTATTATATTTTGCCTAAAGTATCATTCAAAACCTTGTTAATAATAATAATAATAATAATAATAATAATAATAATAATAATTATCGTTATCGTTACCTTAAAGAATGTATAGGATAAAGTAATTGTATCAACATCATTCATCAAAGGATCACTTGAAAATTCGGGATCAATGAAAAAGAATACAGGCATATCGACTTTTTCATTTGCTTCTAATTTTTGTTCTTCGAAACAAAAACACTGAATTTTATTAAAATATTGAGCAACCTTTGCTGGTGTGACATTATAAGTTGCAATTCCAATAATGTCTTGACTAGTTTTATTTTCTGCTGTGTAAAAAGCAAGAGCTGATTCACCAGGCAAAACTTTTAATTCACGTTGTTGAGGATGAAAACTCCAGGGCAGAGACATTGAAGTATCTGAATTAAATTTTATCTTCAGTCTTTTGGATGATTTGTCTGGTATCAATCTATCAGTGTTGTCGTTATTGTTGTTGAGTATAATCGGTGTGCCTCCAAATCCTGTTGTTTGACAAAATTTACGATATAAAGGAACTGCTGCATATGTTAAACCTAACCCGAACATTAATATTGAAGCTGTATACATTAACAAAGATTTATTTCTATTTAATCTAACATTACTATCATATAAAATGTTTTTTGTTGAATAAAAACTTTTATTACAATTATTTCTAAATATTACATTTTGTCCAATCCTGTTGATAAAATACATTTTTTTTTTTCTTCAAGATCAACACATGTTAAAGTTTGAAATTAAAAAAATAAAAATTTTGGGAATACAAATTCTGACTGGCTAATTTGAATTCGCGCGTGTTTTTTCCCTATCACGTGACTTGGGATTTATTTCGGAAGCAAAGGATTAAATGATAAAGGAAAATTATATTTTATTTTAATTCGACTAATACATAGAAAAATAGGCCTATATTTTTTATATTACAGAGTTTGTTATAATTTTTATAATGAGGAAAAAGACCAAGGAAAAGTCTAATTAACAATTCGCAGTTAAATTCAGCTAAATTGATTTTAAGAAAAAGTTATGTTTATTTACTAGTGAAGTTATCGAAAAGATAATTTTAAAGATATTTGCAGTTTCATTTTTTAAATTTAGTTTTTTGTAAATCTTAACAAGAGTTAGTAAAAAATTTTTATTTCAATATTACAATAATTTCTTTACCTATTTATAATTTTTTGTTCTCCTTAAACACAGAATTTCTTGAAGTGTAAAGAAAGTGATTTGGCCGAAATTCTATTTCCAAATTCATCTGAATCCTGAAATTGAAAAAAAAATATCAGTATATTATTACGATTTAAAAATATTCTGGGTGCAGCAAAAGAATACACTGTGATCATTATACCTTTAAATCATTAGAAAAAACTGTTCCCTTGACATTTATTAGATTCTGTTTCTCTTGAAAAAATTCGAAAGTTTGCTCGCAGGTCTTGGAGATTTATTGATGGTTATAGAAAGGTATCAACAGGCATAGAAGCTTTATATTCAGTAAAAGATATAAAATCTCATAAAGAAATTCCAAATAATGTTATCTATAATAATAAATATCAAAATTTTTTCGTGTCGTTTTCCAAATTTTGAGTTTTGTGGTCCTCGGTGGAGTTAGGTAGTGTGGCGCAAAAATGACGGCTTATAGACTTCGCGTACCATATTAGATAGTAGTCACGCGTAGTAGTGGTGATTGTATTCGAATATTCGTATTTTAGAAAATTGAAATTTTTATTAAAATCAATAGGGGCATGCTCCAACTAGGGTTTCGAATAAAAATTGATTAGAACGATTCGTTTTATTCGAATAGTCATTCAAAGCGATTCGAATGCTCAAATAAATTACGAGTCATGCAAATCATTCGAATAAACCTCATTCGAGTAGAAACCTAGCTGCAACAAATCGAACATTATAATTAGGTCACAGGTGATTAATTACAGAGGTCAACATTTAGTGGGGTTGGTGATCGCTCAGAAAATATTCATAAGAATGATTACTTATCATATGATCAAATTAGAAAGAAAAGGAACTGTCATCCAACGTGACTAAATAATAGAAAGAAAAAATAATCATTGCAACATTTTTGTAATAATGATTGATACAAACATCAAAACAATCAATAAATCACACCATACTTGTTTGTAGACGAAGAGCTCGTTGGATGTAAATGGTAACAAAGTACATGCCGGTGAAGAATTGTGGAAGTACGTGTATGTGTATGAACCATCTAAATAGAATATAAAAAAAAAGGAGAGTTAACAAATGCTAAACAAGTTTGGGGGACGGTACCCCTTCATATAATAGGATAATAATAAAATTTAAAGAAGCATTTGTACACTAAACTTTAACACCCTTGAAAGAGAAACTGCTTGTCTAGAGTATGTCCAAAACCTATATGGAATGGCGTCAAACAAGAAACAAAAGAACAATAGTAGTAATAATATTATTAATAATAAGGATTAAGGAGGAATTAAACATGAAACGCTTTACTAATATATAATTCTTTTTATAATTTCTTTTTCGTGTTCATTTTACGGGGTACATGCATTATTAATAACGTTTCAACAAATTTATATGCCTTTTTTATTGAATAACATGAATCTAATTATAATTCGTTGAAACAAGGTTTGACTTTATACAGTTTGAGTTCCAAGGTTCATTCTCTGAAAATTTCAATGATCATTCTTTATCCTGTGGTATATATATTATTAATATTAATATAGTAATAGATGTATATGAATAGTTCATACTAATATAGTAATGTCCTGAATTCTTAATGTAAAATTAATATTAATATTAATATGTCAAGAAGATGTTGTATACCGGAATGGGGCAAATAAAGCCAATTGAATATGAACTTGTAAATTAAAAGCATAAATTTTAATTTTATTTGTGGAATGTTAACAATAAAGTACATCTCCTCTCTAATTGGATTATGATCACGTGAATTTCTAACTAGTTAATTAAATACTAGGTATTAATAATGAAAGTATTAATGTAAATATTAAATGATTATAATTATAGTTTATTATGTTGAAAGAATTACTTGAAACTTGGTTTTTATTTGGATCATTATTACTATTACCACTATAATTACCACCAAAATTAATATCTAATTGAAATTTAATGTCAATTTCATTTGGATTACTAACAGCCAAACATTGTATTGTATTATTTGCTAATGGTTGTGATGGTGTTGTAGATTTTATACATGATGAAACTGGTTCTTTTTTGTCATCTATACATGAATATGCTTTATAATACCATGCAATTTTACCATTTGGATTTAAATATTTCAGCATTTCTGTACTATTTGTCAATACAACCATCACTCCTGATGATGAATCTTTAATATCTAGTGTGATTGTTTGTGAAGACGGCGTTATTGAAGATGCTGATGATGATGATGATGATGATGATGCTAATGATGAATATGGTGATGATGCAATATTAACAAAATTGGATTTTAATGACCATCCTGGTGCTAATTCACCAAAATTTGATGTGACTGTCAAATCGTCTCGGTCCGTTATTACAGTTAAATTATATGCTAAAGAAAAAAATTTTAATATTTCTTTCTTCAAATACTTTTAAATGATTATTATTATTGTTATTATTATTATTACCTATTTGATTTGTATCTTGATTACTACATATATACCAAGTATATAAAGGTGGAATTTTTGCGATTCCTTGACTTTTTATCCTTCTAATCTATGTATAGCAAGCAATCAATATAATAATTAGCCTCTACAATAATTATCAGATCAAAGAGAAAAAAAATTTAGATTACCATAAATATTATTATTGTAAGTGATATTATTTTATTAATTATTTTCATTTTGTATTTAAATTTAGTAATTTTATTTTACTTCTACCTTACATTAATATACATACACATAGATATACTTTCTAGTGAATTTATATATATATTAATATCTAGTAAATATTCAAAGGAATGAAAAGGCCATCATTTTATAAATTTCGTAAGAAAGTAAACAATCATGTAGTGTAAATTATTTACAAATTATTTTGTCATTTTTTGTTTGTTTTTTTCGTTGAATCACACCGAAAATTTTATTGGTTAATCATTCCACGTTGTAAAAATTCATTTATTCATTTTATCTTATGATAAATATTTATAAGAGAATTTTTTTTTAGAAAAAGCCAGAGTTAACTGAACCATCAAAGCCTACGGTTCATCTATAATCGTTAATTGCTTATGGTATAACAATTGGTCAGCTTCAAAATACTAAAACAAAAAATTTTATACCATTTTAAAAAGTTAACCAATAGTTTTATTGTTCATGACTCGAGCTTCAATCAAAACTTATTCGGATAGTTTTAAACTAAAAATTAGCTGCCAAATTTTGTTGTTACGCAAAGTAAATTTTGTGTAACAGGTTTTTTATAGAATATTTTTATTATTATATATTTTGATTTATTTATATTATTTATTTCCTTTTTTATTAATCGAGCATAAATATGAAAATCAAACCTGGAAAAATTGGATTCTAAAAACAAATTAAGATATAATAATTGAAATAAATTCTTTTGAATATAGATTTTAAGAATCCACCGGGATCCACAATAATTTTTTTTTCTTACATATAGGATAAATATTGGTCTAAAATTCCATTTATTAGATTCTATAATTACAAGTTAGTAATGACAAACACTACCACTAGCTAATATTCTACCATGTTTGTAGCAAATAAATATCCAAAAAATGACGGAATCTCATTGCTAAGTATTTATTCAAAGTATGCTTTTGCAAAATTTAAATGATGTAAATTATTCATATCCATTATTTTTAAGAAACAACTACTGAATTTTATTTTAACTTTTTTATAGTTTCAATCATATTAGAACTGTATATTTATTTATTTTTACTATATAAAATTTTGCAAGGAATTTATTTGTATCTGTTACACGCAAGAGATGAGGGAATTCATTTATAAATTAATATTTCATGATTATACATGCAGCCCAAAGTATTTTGACACTGTCATATGTCGTAAAGGGGTGTTACATAATTAATTTCTACTTTCTACCATCAAAATTGGAATAATTTTGACCATCGAAATCACCAAACCAATTTGGGTTGCATGTATATTCATGATATTATTTATTAATTTTATAATTTTAACAAGAACAAGGAAAAAAGAAGACATTGTAAATCATCTATATACAAAAGGTATAAATTAACAATTTACTATTAATTTCAACATGCATCATTAATAATAATAAGGAAGGGAAAGTAAAGAGCCGGACACATTTCTTCTAGTCAAAGACTCACCCCTAGCACTTCCTCTGAATCTTCTGATAGGTAGTTTCAATTCAAAAAGAATGGAATACAAACTTGTATATAGCAGAAATGCCATTTGATCTATTAAAAGCATTTTGGGTAAATTTTATATTTATTAAATTTATTTGTTTTATTAGCATGGATTCCAAAAGAAGATAATACAGTGAGTCTAGATCGTCGATTATTGCAGTATTTAGAAATTACAAGTTTGGGGTTTTTACATTAAAGAAAATTATTATCGTGTAATTCGAAAATGTCGTAACACGAAAATTATTAGATCAAAATCCAACGGATCACATAATTTTTAACTTTTGAGTACAGATGATCTACACTGTAGCTTGATTGTTGCGAAACAACCTGATTGAGCTGAAATGTGGTGGAACTAATACATTAACTTCTTGAATATGCAAAAAAATTTTTTTTGTCATATATTGCGAGAGGAATTGATGACTCAGTTCCATTTCCTCTATCTATAAAAATTTTAATGTGAAAAAATCCAATAGAAAATTTATTTGAATTTATTGTTTTTCATCTGTAAAAAGACTTTACACAAAAAATATTAATTAAAAAAATTATGTAATAATTGCGCACACATGCTTTTCAGCTCGTTTCATAAATAATATATCGTATTTCTTACTTGATTGTTTTTACATGGCTTTTTCTCTTTGATTCCACATTTTTTTTGTCCAATTAATTTATTACATTTTTTTTTTTGAGAGATTTGAATGAAATAGAAAAGAAAAAAACCGTGAAATCGAAAATTATTATAGTCTATATATAAAGAAGAAAAAAACTAATTACTATTTTGAGGATAAAAATTTTACGACCAATGTCTTCTTTACTAAAAAGAATAAATTCTCTTACAGTAATAACTTATTAGTGCTTATTAACTACGTGATAGAAGTAACATATCTTTTATTATGGTTAATATTTTTAGGAAGTTGAACAGTTAATACGGCTCCTGGTATAAATGCAATTCCACGTGAAGAAAACCTTCGATACTTTGATGTTCTTATGACCGGTCCAATTCAATCACCATTTGAAGGTTTATAGCATTAAATAGTGAATAAAGACATATACAAATAATATATTTATCTGAAATAAAGAATTGTTTTTAAATAGGTGGTATTTTCAATTTGAAACTCTTTCATCCGAAGGATATCCATTGTGGGAACCACCTAAAGTTCGTTTTCTAACTAAAATATATCATCCAAATATTAATAAAAACGAAGAGTTTGGTTGGAAATTTTAAGAGGCATTTGTTTTTTTTTAAATTTTTCATAATATTCACTATTTTTTTTGTTTAAGACAAATGGACACCAGCTTTACAGTTCGTACAGTGCTTATTTCTGTGCAAGCACTTTTATCTTCTCCAAATCCTGAACAACAATTTGATATGGATGTCAGACTACATTGGAGGGAAAATGAAACAGCAGCAATTTCAATTGGTAAACTTACTAATGAACTATTAATAAAATAGAATCACGATTGATTTTTTTTAATATTAAATTAATAAACAGCTCAAGAATGGACTAGGAATTATGCTTAAGGTTATTTTTATATATATACATTTAATTTTAATTTTAATAATTTATTTAAATAAAAAATAAAGAAAATGCTTTTTAATAAAAATAAGTTTTTTAAGCACCCTTAACCCTATTTGTACCACGAAGCAAACCACTTCTTCTGGCTGCAATCAAACCAACCTGTCAAAAGAAAATTAATTTTTATTAAATTGTAAAATATTATTAAACATTATCATCTATCACACACAATAAACACATTACCTTTTGACCAGGAACACTTTCTCTAGAAACGGTAGAAGCATGTCCAATATGTTGATGATTACCACCACCATGAGGATGGTCAACAGGATTCATAGCAACACCACGAGTTTTAGGCCAACTATTTCTCTTAACTCTATATTTATGGAAGGCTCGACCGGCTTTAAGCATTGGTTTATCAATACGTCCTCCACCTGCTACAATACCGATGGTTGCACGAGCAGATGAGTTCACCACTTTTTTTGCTCCTGATGGCAACTTGATACGAGTTTTGCCTTCATCATGATTATGACCAATAATTGTGGCATAATTCCCTGATGTTCTAGCCAATGCACCACGATCTCCAATTTTTTCTTCAACATTGCTTATAATTGTACCTTCTGGCATTGAATTCAATGGTAACACATTGCCAACTGTTAATGATGCTTTTTTACCACAATATATAAATTGACCTGTGTGTAATCCTTCAGTTGCAATAAAAGTTTGTAATCGAAGTTTATACCTAAAAAGAATTACAACAATAAATGATTATTAATTAATCTTTCATTACTGCTTAATTGATCATGATATTATAAAGTATAATACCGATATGGATCACGAAATTGAACTTTTGCAAGAGGCGCACCACGACCTGGATCATGAATGATTTCTTTTACTATACCTCTAATGTATCCATTACGTTCAGCATAATCTAACGATCTTAACTTTGCAGCTCCTTTACGAAGTCTAGTATGAGATTTGAAAATACCTCCTGGTCCTTTCCTTTGTGAGCGAATAACACGACCCATCTCCTTTTACTATTATTATTGTTACAATTAATTTTTTTATATATAGAAAAGTATCACTTTTTTATAAAACAAAAAAATATCTAAAAAATTTTTTTAAAATGCAGATCTCTTCATTTTAAACCTATGAACAAATTAATATACGAATAAAAAAAGAGCATATACTAATACTAAAAAGATTTCACTTCCGTTTACTATTTTATGAATGAAATCGCGACAATTAAAGAATTTTATTATTATTATTAGTTTGTTAATCATATCAATTGGGTGATTAAATTTAAAGGTAAAATAATAATGCTGAAATTTATTATATTGCTATATCTGATATATATATATTTTTTGACGTGAAAATCTATATTCAATGATATAGCTATTTAATTATATGAGCAGATATATTATTCTGCAAATAATTAGATCATTTGGGATTTTATAGATAACTTAATACATTGGTAAATTTGATAAGTCGGACACGAGTGGCTGGTCATGATGGTCCGACTTATCGAAACATGCAATTTTACAAAATAATTATTTAATAAATCACTATTTCTTTATCTAAATAAATTTGCTTTCCATTTAAACCTTTCATCCTGAAACAAATAAATTATTTAATTGTACAGTCAAACTTTATATTAAGTTCTTGTCATAACGGATTTTTAAAATTTTTGCTATATTAAAAGTCCGTTGTGGTAAGATTATAATTAGTAATCTTGCCACAACGGATTTTAAATAAAATCTTCTGATGTGTCCCATTCATCATCTGTGACAAGGTTTGACTGTATATAATTATTCTGTTTAGAGACCTGCATGGATAACAATGATTGAACCCATATCCAACTCATATCAAAATTTGTACCCAAACCCGTTGTGTAGGAGAAAGTGAATACTGGACAATATTACAGGCCAAGTTTATGATATATTTTACATTCTAGAATGTCGATACAGCCTCGTGGTATAACTAAGCTGAGAAAAATATAACCAAAATCCTATCTGATGTAAAATTTGTATGTATATTTTCTTCACTGGTTTTTTCCTATATAATCAGTATTAAGTTATGGTTTTACAGGTAATCCAAAAAGGTTTGGGAGTGATGAAGCATTTATGGATGCAAATAGGATGTTAAAAAGCTTGGTCACAATCATCCAATTTGCTCTGGAATAATAGATGCCAATTTGGAGCCAATGACCAATTTACCCGCGACACTCTAGGAGGGAGCTAAACAGTATTCATTGCAAGTGGATTAAGAACTGGTACATGACTGCAAAAAATTGCTTAACTTTATAAATGTTGGAGGGGCAGTTCTAATGCCTTCCGCAGTTTCAGGAAGTACGGCTGGATTTACCAGAAAAATTTGGTGTGTTATATACAATCTAAGTTTGATATCTCCTGTAACAAGAATATTTTTCGTTGAGTGATCATATTAAGATATAAGTTGGAGGCCATTAGACACAGAATATGAGTGACACCTAAATATAATCTATCCAAAGATCTATCCACTATCAATGAGATCTCCTACATGTGTGAAGTATTAATGCCATTATTCACCATAGCTATGAATGTATTACCCGTAGAATATGTAGCCTTGAGCAAATGGTACTCATCATGAATTTCATTTTGAATTTTTTATGTGGTCTAAATGGAGAAGGATTTTCTTGTGTCAGAGATAAACAAAGTTTAATCAGTGCTGAATGAAAAGGTGATTTAAAATCCACTAAAAGACTAGATTATACCATTGTTACCTAGATAGGGGATGTAAGAGTCGAGATAGCGTATGGTGAAACTGATTGTCCCGTTTCTGACAAAATTAAAGGAATCCAGGCAAATTTTATGTTTTATTTATTTATTTATTATTCTTATAATGATGAATTTATATCTAGTTGTGTCGCATATATATACTAATACATCATATTTATTTACTTACTAAGCAATCTTTTTAGTTGTAGGCTTCCAAGGTCTTCTCTAATATATCCAGAAGAAATTTGAGTTGATGGTGTGAAATGTTTGATAAAATCTTGAGCCAAAACCTTAACCTGTTCCTATGAATGCAAAAAATTCATTATGAATTTCAAACATCATACCTGAGTAATAATACATACTTCCAATGCTAAAAAGTGAATAATTGATGATTCTATTGAAGACATTGATGATTTTTCCAACACCAATTTTATTTTTGCAAATGCCCAAGAGCGATACAGACCATCATAACTTAAACCTACTACATATGAATCTAGTCTCTCTCCTAAGTTACAAAAATAAGTTCAACAAACACATATTGTTATATATATATATTTATCAATAATTCATTATGTACATATATACATACCCATATTCATAACAACAAATGCTCTCGCAGATATACCTTTGCATCTAATAACTGATTCACTGACTTCACATTTGATCTCTTTAATTCATTACCAACACTGGAGAATGATGGAGCTGACAATGCAAGTTTCCAATTTTTTATCTGAATCAATTATTAATCATGCAATTTATTCAAGCTTTATACTTAAAATTTTAGCATCTAATGACAACAATAATGACAATAACAATGATAACAATGATAATAATAATGATAAATTCTGAAGAAAATTTTATTTTTTTATTTTTAAAATTCATGTCTGTAATCAACTGTAACAATAATGATAATAAATAATAGTAATTCTATCAATAGCATAAATCAATTAATTCTTACAAATGATGTCACAAATAATACAATCCCAATGTGCGTCATTTGATTATGAATGGATTAATGAGATACCAATATGTTCTACCTTTTATTTTTATTTCATGAGGTAAAAGGTGATCAAGGCTTCCAACATCAAGCAGTTTGACTATTTACACAATTAGGAACCATGAAGATGATTTGATTAAATTCTTTCCATGAATCTTCTGTTTAAAATTTTTAGTTATTGTCACTGTCATTTATAAATCTCCCATTTTTGAAAAGACTCTTTTCATTTCTGAATCATTTATGATGGTAGTGTCACCAATATTTATCTTGATATTTTTTTGAATAAATTTAAAAATCTCCTGTAATTAGATCAAATTGTAGGTGGACAAGGAAATTTCTAGCAGCACTCAAAAATTAAATAAAGATTCATTCTTTCAAATCTTTGTCATTAACCTCTTATCTAACCTTGTATCATCTAATGATTTCTATTCCATGAGCAAGTATCATGTTCTCTGTGTAATCACACTATTAATTACTTCAATCAATGAAATGAAATCATTAGTCCCTTGCCTTCTGCTTGCATCCTAACCTTTAATTAGCATCATGAAAATGGTACTATCTGTAGAATGAATCCTATAAAAATATTCTATTCGTCTATCACTTAATTAAGCACATATAGCTTTTTTTAATGTATAATAGTAAATTTCTATACTATTAGTAAGCCGAACATCAGAAGAGAGAACATTACCAAGAATAATGATTATTTTTTTTATTTCACAGGGTAACAGTAATTTGGGTATCTGCTTTCAAATTTATTGTTTCTTGGATGTTTTATTTATTAAATTACTCTGGCTATCCAATATTACTAAAAAAACTGAACCAGCATAAAATTAATACTTGTCTCTCTTTGTTAAGCATAATAGAGGTATCAAGTCTTTTTGTTTATCAAAAAATCCGTGCTATGATTTTCATTTTTAAGGTTCCTATATTGTTCTTCCCTTTTGAAGTTGATAATGTCCCAACGGACAAAGAACAAAAACGATGGTGGTGGTGGTCATTCTCAAAAAACAAATTATGGACAAAAAAAAAATCCTAAGAGCGACCTTTTTGGTACGTCGCACGATCGGATTTTATTTTTAGTTGTATGTGACTGTGCGACTGTATATAAATATAAATGAATGGGGAACGAGTGAAAGAAAATTAATTAAATTAATTGTAAATAAACAAATTAAAATAAAAAAAAATGTTAATACTTTCAAATTCCTTTAATTATTTCATAAAAAAATTAATAATATAACAATTATTAAACAACAATCATAATAACAATCATCATAATATTGACCATGGATAATGATCATATCAGTATTGAGACTGGGATTGAAGTTGATGATGATGATAATAATAATAACAATAATAAAGCCAATGATAAAGATGATATTGTTATTGATGATCATCAAGAGATGACACAGATTATTGAAAATGATAATAAAGAAATTAAAATAATCCATGATAACAGTGATAACAACAACAACAACAACAATAAGGGTGAAGATGAGGAAAAAAAAAATGACACATCTGATCAATTCTCTGGATTAGTTGATAGGTTATTATTACTCATCATTTATAATAATGGATAAATGTTTATTTTAATAATTAAATTTAATTATTAAAAATTTGATTTTAGATATGGATTTTTAGTTAGTAAAAGGAATAATGGAGAAAATGATAATAATAATAATAAAGATAATGATGACAAGAAATATTCATCCAAATTAGAGAATAGGTAATTAATTAGTTAAAAAAAAATATAAATTATTATCATTATCATTAACACATAAATCAAATTCTATTAGAAATAAGAAAAGAGAAATCAAAAGAACAAAAAAATGGGCAATTTCATCTTCAAAGGAAAATAAATCAGAGAAATATGGTGACACATTATACACATTTATGTGGAATAAAGAGGTATCACTATTGCCATTATTTATTATAATATTTATTAACATTTGTAGAAAATTTATTAATTCTCTAATTGATTTTTCAAAAAGTTTATCAAAAGAATTCCTAAAGGGATTCCAGATTCTTGGAGAAGTCCAGCTTGGTAAAAGAACATTGGAAATTTTAGTTGGTTTTCGATGTTTATATTTAATAATTAATATATATATATATATTATGTGTTTTAGGTATTTTTTGATAAATGATGGAAAGATTGAAAAACAAAATGAAGAAGAGTTGATTCAATTATATAAAGTAAAAATCATATTAAAGAAAACATAATACTAGTTCAATTATTATTGCATATGTTGATTGATTATTAAAATAAATTATCTAAATGTTTCTTTCTCCTCTCATAAAGAATTTATTAGTTACTTCTTCATCTCATGAAATTCAAATAAATTTGGATATTCCTAGAACAACTCGATCACATATAATGTTTATATCAGAAGATAGTGCTGGGTTAGTATTACATATATGCGTAGGACCTTTAAAGACTTTTAAAAAATTAATAAATTAATATTTTTAATACAACATATTAGTCAAAAATCCTTATTTAATATTTTGAAAGCATTTTCAAATCATGATCAACAAGTTGGTTATTGTCAAGGAATGGCTAGTGTTGCAGCAATATTATTAATATATTATCATGAAGAGGTTTTTTTTTCAATTATTATCATCACTATTATAATTATCATGGAAATTATTTAACCATTATTTAATTGTTTATTTATTTGTAGATAGCATTTGTAATGTTAATAAGATTGTTCAACAAATTAAAATTACACGACCTTTACATACCTGGATTTCCTTCTTTGTTAGAAAGCTTTTATATACAAGAAATGTTGATGGAAAAATATGCTCTAAAAATATCCAAACATCTTGTATGGAGTATTTTGATAATTAAATTAACATTATCATGTTATTAGCTTGCTTATTATATTGTTTGATCATTAATATTTTTTGTTTTCAATAATAGAAGAAGAATGAGATTCGAACTGCAACATATGCAACCAGGTGGTACCTAACATTATTCACAAGTGAAGTTGTCCCTCATCATACTTTGTTAAGATTTTGGGATTTACTTATGTTATATGGATTTGATATTTCTTATTATATTGCTGTTGGTTTATTAAAATATAATAAATGTAAATATATATTTTTTAATATCTTTAATATTTATTCAACACATTAACCAACCAATCAATTAATTTAATTGAAAATTTTTTAATAGATAAATTAATAAATTTTGATTTTGATGATACAATGTTGGTAATATCAAATCAATTTAACATAACGAATGATGATAAATTAATTAAAATAATCACCAAAATGTTTTTTAATAAGAATAGAAAAAAACTGCTTGAAAATTTAAAATCTAATTATAATCAGAATAAAATAATAGACTAATAGATTAATGATAGATTAATGATAGACTAATGATAGATTAATAATTAATAATTAATAAATAATAATTTTATTTAGATTTTTTTTTTAATAATAATAAATATAAATCTATTTTTTCTTCCTTCTACTCCTCATCTTCTTTCTGCCGTTGTCACCACCACCACCCACTTTTCCACCTTTCACCTCTTGCTGTATTATCACCTCATCTTCTTCATCTTCATCACCTTCATTTTGATTCTGATTAACTTCAATCCAATCATCAAAGTCAACCTTCTTTCTTTTCCTCGTTGACATCATCTTTTCATCATCATTAATATATTCTTTACTAATTTTTTCTCTTAATTCTTCCAAATCTTTATCTTTCTCTGCATATTGTAAAATTAAATGTCTGCCCAACAAATGTGTATGTTGTAATTTATCAATAACATTCCTCGCATCTCTTTTTGTTAAAAATTCTATAAATCCAAATCCTCTTATTTGTCCATCGAATTTTTTAGGCAACCTTATTGTTTTAATTTGTCCGTACACACTAAATAAAAAAAATAGTATAAAAAGTCATTTATCTTATATACAATAAGTTTCTCTCTAATTTCAAATACTTTACCTAAATAATTCACTTAAATCTTTTTTTGTTGTTTCAAATGCAAGGTTCTTTACAACAATCTTTGTTGATTCTTGTCTTTTTTTATCATTTTCTTCTTCTTTTCTTTGTCTTTGCACTGAATCTAACCCATGATTGGAAAATTTCAATTGTAATGCATGTCCATCTAATATATAGCCCTTTAAATTTATTTTTTATTGTTTTTAAAAAAAAAACCCCCGTAATATTTATTAGATGTATGTACTGTTTCATAATTTCTAATCAACATAATATTAGTTTTTATTATTATTATTACCTGCATGACTTTTAATGCATTTTTGGCAGTTTTCATACCATCATATTCAATAAATCCAAATCCCATACTTAGTTTTTTACCTGGATTTTTTGGATCATTTTTCATTTTAATCCTAACAGACCTTAATCCAGGTGTATTCTTAAATGTATTTTTCAAACTTTCTTCAGTTGTATCAAAACTAATATTTTTAACAAATAAAGTTGCCGCGATTTCTGATGATGTGACAACTTCCATATCTTCATCCTCTTCCTGCCCCCCTTCATTATTCTTATTACTACCAATATTGTTATTAGATGACGATTCCACCAAGTCTGCTGATGATAACGGAGGTCGTGTTTCGTTATCAAGATTTGCTGAATCTAATTGAAAAATATCTTTTGGTGCTTTTTCTAAGTAAAGAGGAACTCCTTTAAATTTTTTATATGCTAGATCTTGAAATGCCGTTTTTGCTTCTGTCGAATTCTTATACTCTATTATTGCAATGGTTTCTGCAGGTGGCACTATTAACTAAAAATGACAATAAATTATTAATATTAATAATAATAATGACATTAAAAATTTACGACGTATGATTTTTTAATATCAGCTATCTATTAATTCATTCATTCACCGAACTGATATCTATTGGTTATTTAATTGATTGATTGATTAAACTTACACGTTCAATATCACCATACCATCCAAAAATTTGTTGCAATTCTTCTTTTGCAACTCCAAATGGCATATTCTTTACTAAAATTATTGTATCACTTTTTTCTTTTTTGTTAAATGATTCCAATTTAACTCCTTGCTAGAATTTTAAATTATTTAATGACAATATTATTTAACAATATTTGACAATCATAAGAAAAATTATATATATATATATATTAACTTGTTCAAAATATCCTTTAGTTTCTTGAATTATATGAGTTTCTGCAAGTGCAAGTTTGGCTGCCATATTATCTGAATTAGGGTCAAGAATATCCGATTTTTTAATATCAAGCCTTTTTGCAATCGATTGTACAATGGCATCACTCTAGCATATTAAAAAATTAAAAAATTCCAATTTATAAAATTTAAAAAAATCCAATATATAAATTTAATAAAAATCCATAAACTTACATTCATATATAATGTATTCCAATTAAAATCATTTCCTGCTAAAGATTTTTGTTTCATTTCCCTTTGCATTTTCAAATTTGATCTGTAGCTGTTGTTATTGTTATTGTAGTTGTTGTTGTTGTTTATTGAATCAAGTAGCAATAATTCTTTCCTACTTTTAGGCTTTTCTTTCGATGGTAAAATATGTAATAATCTTCCCATAAAAAATTGATGATCAAGCTCTATAAATGCCTTGACTGCGTGTTCTGGAATATGATATAATATATATGCAAACCCTTTTTGTATTTTGGTTTCTTTATCAATTGGTAAATGAACCTAAAAAAAAAAAATCAATCAATTAATATTTCAGATTATTATATAAATATGTTAAATAAATTATTAAACGAACAATTGCTTACTTCAGCAAGCGGTCCATATTTATTAAATAATTTTTGCAAATCCTCTTCCGTAGCTAAATATGGTAAATTTCTAACAAAAAGTCGTCCTGTTTCGCCGATAGATTCTTCAGGTGGCATTTCATCAGAATTTTTTGACTCGGGATTTTTTCGTAAATCAATAGAGTATGGAATTTTCATGGTATCTGCGGATGACTTATCATCCCGGTTATCATTTTCATTTTCAATCTTAGTTTCTCCATGAACACTTTCAGTCTTTAACTCAAATCTTTTATTAACATTAATCTAAATAATTTAACAATCAATTAATATTTGAAAAAATGATATCTATTTATAATAAAAAGAAAAACCACGATTACTTTTACGTCATCATCATTGTCATCACCATCATCACCATCCAAATCGAATCTTCTTCTCATTCTCGCTTTAATCCAATCAGAATCAGATACAGAAGGATCTTTATCAATATTTTCTCGCTCGTCATCTTTTTTATCATCTAAATCGGCAGCATTTTTTTTATTTTTTGAACTTGGTAAATCTTGATATAAATTGTCATCTTCATCATCACTATTATCAATAATCATTTTATTTTGAAAATCTAAATTTGTTATTTCGTCATCATTTGTCCAAGTTTTTGATTTTGATCGTGGTTGCATGACTTGTAAAAATTCATTCAATTTTTCATCATTGTCAACAGAATTTTTTGTTTTTATATTATTAGGAAAACTTGCTTCAAATTTAACTAAATTATCATCACTTTTTTTATTTTTCCCATTATTCTTATCGCTGCTATCATCGTTGTTGTTAACATTGTTATTTGATTCAATTGGATTTCTTTGTTGATATTTAGATGAGCCTAAACTATAAGCACTCCATGGTCTTGGTAATGATGAATCATCAACCTTTATTAAAAAAAATTTTTTTTTGAATTAAAAAAATTAGTAAAGAATTTTTTATTAAAAAAAAAAAAAAAACTAATTGTTATAATTTACAGGTTTCGCCAGTTCCACAATAACTTTTGAAGTATAAATATACGTATTATTAAAATATTTTATTGCTTCATTAGCTTCTTTTTCTGTACGATATCCAATAAACCCAAAACATCTTGATCTTCCATCACTACAAAAAATTTTTTTTTAGATGATAGAGATTGTTAATAATAATGAACATAGTCATCAATTAATCAATAACCAATAATAAGTTAATTACGATGTTGTCATAATTTTTGCATCTGTAATTTTTCCTTTACAAGAAAAATGATCGCGAAATTTATCATTATTTAAATTCTTTGGAAGATTTTTTACTATTATGCGTGACCTATAGATGAAACATATGATGAATATATATGAATATTATGTAGTTAGAAAAAAGATCCTAATCAAATCAAAGATAAAATTTAAATTTACATTTTTTTAAAAAATAAATTTTTTTAATCTGAAAAATTGATAATCCCAATAATCACATGCAATATAGTTGTCGCACCACCTACGATTTTCGAAATTTGTACAGTGAACAACTAAAGAAAGATGAGAAAGGTGTTTATAAAAGACTCATCGTAAGTGGAAATAACTTTATGATATCAAACTGCATGAGATATTCTTCACTGAAGTTAACTATGACCCATTTTCCACTGTAGCAAATGACCATGTCAAGTTGGAAAAAATGCTATGGATTGAAATTAAAAAAACCAATAATAAACATCCTATTCCATCTAAATAATGAGCATTTATACGTGTACTTTATGGACTTAAAGAATCAACATTTAACTCGAAAAGCATTATTATACAAGATTTACATTTCACCTTGCAAAAAATGCACCATTTACTGAAACATTATAACTCTGTGGATATTAGATCGAGACTGGAGAGCGAGTGCCATTCAAATGTGTGAATAATCAGGGAAAACTCTTACCACACCCACCTCAGTTACATAACAAGGTTTTTTTAAGATAGTTACTAATTTACAATACTTCAAATGTTTTGGTACTTTCAATGTTAGAAAAGAAAAGCTAGTAGTAAACAAGCGTATCTGCGCAAGGAATAAATTACCTACAGTGAACTTTATATGTATATAGTATTATATAATAATAACACTTTTCATCAACAAACTTAAAAATATATTATGGTCACGAGGTCTGAATGTTAACGTTAACGCTTCACTTTGAATATTAATACTTTGAAACTGTTTATAATAATAATGGCAATAATTCCATGAAACTTGAGAATTTAATTATAAACAAATAAAAATTTATATTTACATATATATATATATATAAAAGTCAAAAAATCAAAGATAATTAATTATAATACAATATTAAATAATACAATATAATAAAACAAGTATAATAATAAATAATGATAACACCCATATAGCAAAAGCAACCCATACTTCTGTACAAGAGACAGTGTTTCCAGAAGGCTTAAATATCTACATTTATATTCGTTTGACATCATCATCTTATCAGCTTTTTCATAGCAGATGTATTAATCACATATTCTCCCAAAATTGTTTCTAATTCTAGAATCCTACCTTCCACCCTCTTTACCCTTTCTCTAGTAGAAATTTTTCCTTTAGTAGGACTAGTATTCGAGACGAACGGAAGGTTCTCCAAGTCCGCACTGCGTATTATTTCTGATTTTGCCATTTTATGCATTAGGCCCCTTTAGAGAAGTTTCATGTTGAAATTAGCTAAACGTTTCGGAAAATTAAACAAAGATAGTAAACGCTTTAGAAACTTACCAAGGATTAATTCTTGGTTGTCCAAAAAACAACATATAAATTCCACCAATCAATCCTAATTCAAAAATAGTAATGGTAGTTCAAAATTGATTAAATATGTTCATCAAGAGGCAACTATCAAATATTTAATATCGACTTTTTAGCTTACCAATAGCACCACCAGCCACTCCCAGAGTTCCAAGAACCGTATACGAACTAATGAATATGACAAAGAAAAACTAAAGATTATAATAAAATGTTATAGAAACCAAAATTTCAAATTTTGAAATGAGTTGTCAGATTTACCGTTTTTCAGATTGCACTTCGTGGAGAAAACTTCCTGGAGCAACATAAAAGTGACCTGTAAAGGGAAAGCTATCATTTGGATGCATTTGAAAGTATTTCGACACAGTGGTAAAGAAGGGTGTGCTAATGTAATTAGGAGGTAGGCCGAGAATTGTGGAGATGTCGTCGGGTAAAGTGGACAATGTGGTTTTCTTAAAGAATATCTGAATATTGGTGTAGATTAAATTTAGTAATAATCATCTATTGAAAAGATAATCGGTGAATTAAAATAACTGACCAGAGCCGATACATTTTGTATGCCCGCGAACGTATTCATTTGTTGATCCAATCGTTTTTTTACTGGATTTGTCGATGATAAATTCTTGAATTCTGTTAAAGCATAATAGTTGATCATATGTTATATCAGTAGAATAATTGAATATTTCATGATAGAAGAGATGAAGTACATTAATTAATTACCTTTATCCATTATTTTGCCTGTAATAGTTCCCACAGATAAAAAATGCTCGATAACGGCGGAAACGTTAAGAATTTTGAAATAAAAATCAATGCCCCCTACCGACAACCCTTCAGAGATTTTTTCCGAGTCACTGAAAAAATAACTACTGTTAGCTCGAAGAGTATAGCAATGCTTAACCCCATCCTGATCCACTGTCGTGACTTTTTCAGATTCAAATATTTTGCTTTCCGGGCTACAGCCGTCAGTGGAATTTTCGTTATTATTCCAATGGAAAATGCATTTAGATATTTCGATATCACTGTGATCACCACAGAGTTCAATTTCTTTGTGAGAATATGAATATAAATAAAGAACCTGTTAGATTGAAAAGTTTTTGAGAATTTTAACACCTCGCTCGCTAACATACCAGGAATGCTGAGTTTGTCCAAATACTCATAAGTTATTTGTATCAATGGTTTGTCGTTGATGATTCGATATATAAGAAATGCCAGGTAGCCCATATAAAGAAGAATTACGATACTAGCTGTCACCCATCTCAAACATTGAAATTTCTTTGATTCCGGGAACTGTGAATTAATTAATTACGTATAAAGGTGAATCTTTAAACAGGCGTTTTTCGTAGAATATAAATCAACTATTTAAGACTCTTAACTATTCTCCGACTGGATCTGAAAACGAAAAGCATTTTTAGAGAAAAGTAGAATTAGGATTTGTTCTTTTCTAGAGTGAAATTACTTATGAAAATAATCAAGAAATCGACAACTTTGAATATTGCTAGATTTTTGTTTTTTAAAAAAATAATAATGAATGTGGCGCATTTTGTCTCTACGAACTCCGATATTAATATATCTAAAATCAAATCTTTTGTCTTCTATAATAAATAATAATTTATTTGATGGGTGATCATTGAAATGTAATCTCCATTTATATTAATATTGTTTATGTTTATTTTTTAAAATTCCAAATAATAAATAAATTCCGAGTTCTTGAAACGATTATTCCTATTGTTAAACATCATTCAAAAGACTATTTCCGGAGTGTAATGCCGATTTTTAATAGTAATATAAATATTTGTCAAAGATCGATTCATCCATCTCCAATAGGGGCTTCCGATTATGACACTGGAGCGATATTAATATGGAAAAAATGAGGTAAGAATTCAATATTAATTTTATTGAAATACTAAAAATGGTGAATCCAAATTTAACAATTATCTACCAAATATAGCAAATCTTAATAACATTGAATGAATCAACGAATGGTTTTGATTTACGTTCAAGAGTCAAAACTTGTTTATTAAGTCGAACTTATTTGAATTTATTAAAATTACATTGTTAACATTTTTATTGTTCTGCACTACGGCAAACAATTGAACAAAATGAATTAACATTTAAAGAAACCTGCATAAAAAAAAAAATAAAGCATGGAACCATCCTCCAAAAAAGGAAAGAGCATTATTATTATTATTATAATATAAATTATTCAAAAAACAATTTATTGGCTGCCAAGCGCTTTACAAGAATTTATTTGTGACTGCATCAAAGGTAAAATACCTATTAGTACCTTAATTGACCTTGCTTCTGAATGAATGAAATATCGTTTAACGAGAAAATCGAGGTTTAGAATTGAAGAAACAGTTGACACGAAACATTTACGGAGGGATGAAAACCGGATGGGTTAGTGATGTAAGACTTTCTGTCCTTTCTTTATATTTCTTTGGGGTTGGAGCGAACTTCGTCCGCAGAGATTAAAACAACAAGATGGAAACTTCTTAATATTCGAATTACATAAACACAAATTGATGTTTGGAATCCCGCGACTAATGTTAATTGGTATTTTGCCAATACCTTGTCCATTGCAAAATCTTTTCAAACATTTTCTTGATTGTTGTCACGACCCCTGCTTTGTTAGCAGTTGTCAAAGCTGGCTAGATTTTCTCTGTTTGTAAATAAACCCAGGCAGATCTTTAGTGAAGAATCGTACCACAAGAGTTGAATGTATAACGATTACATGGAAATAAAATAATATTGTGTGAAATAAGTCCTTACTTACTGGGTGTGAGATGCTCTAATTAATCAATAACAAACTTTTTTTTAAAAAATAAAATATACACTCACTGGACAAAAGTATAGGGACACCTGCAGATCATCGCAAATAATTGAATAAAGTGACATGACAAAAACTAAAAATTT